CAGGAAATTGAACACTTAACTGAGATATCACCTTACTTCAAGCAATTGAAGAAGGTCCGGTCATAAGTATATTATCCACATAGACAAGAACTAGAACTAGAACTAGTTTGTGAATGACAAATAAGCTGTGATCTGATTGAGAGGCCTGAAATCCCATAGAAATTAATGCAAATTGTAGCTTTTCAAACCAAGCTTTTGGAGCCTGTTTTAATCCATAGACAGACTTCTTTAAAAAGCAGACATGATTGGGGTGATCTTGATCAATGAATCCAGATGGTTAAGTCATGAACACATTTTCCTTCAAATTTTCATGTAAGAAAGCATTACTAACATCTAGTTGATGCAAAAACCAATTGGACTGAACTGCCAAAGTGAGTAGGATTCTAATGGTGACTGGCTTTGCCACTGGACAAAAAGTATCACTGTAATTGATTCCTTCTTATTGATTATACCCCTTGGAGATGATAATGAGGGTACTGTAGGAGAAGTACTAATGGAAAGTGAAGGAACATGAGTGACTTCTGTGGGTGGTATAGGTAAGGATACAAAGTGTGATGGTAATGGGGACAAGACTGAATTGGGAGTTTGGAAAGGTAAAAGAGAAGGAAGATGATGAAGTGTTGGTTGTGGAAGGGGATGTAGGCAGTGACATAAAGGTAGATTGATGAAAAAGAAATGAGCTTTCATCAAAATAAACATGTCTAGAAATGTAGACTTTATTGGTTAAAGAATCGAGACATCTATATCCTTTGTGAACTAAACTATAGCCAATGAATACATATAGCTTGCTCTTAGCATCAAGTTTGGAGTTGGTATAAGGTTTTAACCAAGGGTAGCATGTACACCCAAAAACCTTCAGGTGAATGTAGTCTGGTGACTTGTGGAAGAGTTGTTCCCATGGTGAAGGCTTGGAGACAGGTGGTAGTCTATTGATTAGATAAACTGCAATGAGAAAGGCTTCCACCCAAAATTATTGAGGAACTTTTGATGCAACCAATAAGGTTCTAGCGGTCTCTACAATATGTATGTGCTTCCTTTCAGCACAGCCATTTTGCTGAGGGGTGTAAGGACAACTAAGATGTTGTTGAATACCATGTTGAACAAGATGTGTCTTAAAGGCAAAACTAAGGAATTCACCCCCTGAATCAGATCGTAAAGTACCAATTTTGGTTCCACACAAGTTTTCAACAAGAGCCTGAAACTGTACAAATGTATGAAAGACATCTGATTTATGCATCAAAGGATACAACCAAGTATATTTCGTGAAATCATCAACGAAAATTACATAGAACCGATAGCCACTCACAGAGAGTAAGGGTGCTGGTCCCCAAACATCAGCATGTACCAGTTTTAAAGCTCTAGAAGTCGTACAAATAGATTCATGAAAAGGTAATTTGGCACATTTTCCCAAGATGCAATTTGAACAATGAAACTGATTGACATTATTAGTAATAGGCAAGGTAGACTTTGATACAATAGATCGAAAAGTTTTGAAAGTTAGATGCCCCAAACGTTGATGCCAAATTTGAGTAGTTGCTTTTATTGCAGGATTTGCAGAGAACCTTCTTGTAGAGGAAGAAGACATAGAGAATAGATAAAGACCACTGCGAACATGACCTTTAAAAAGCATCCTCACCATAGTAAGATCCTTGACAGTAAAGTAAAAAGGATTTAGGGTTAAGGAGCACCAATTATCCATGAGAAACATATTTGCAGAGATAAGAACATGTTTCAGATGAGGAACATGGCAAAACATTATTCAATTTAAAGGTAGCAAATGGTGTTTGAATAAACGAAGATCCTAATTGGAGAATGGGCAAACCTTGGCCATCTCCAATGTAGACTTTGTCAGGACCAGTGTATGGCTGAGGATTTTGCAGGTTGTGAACATTGTTTGTCATGTGAAAGCTTGCACATAGTCAAGCAACCATGGCGGGGAAGAAGAGGTGGTGGTGTTGGCACATATTGCAAGCTTGGCAGGTGGAATTTGCCCTTGGAAGTTTGGATTCATACGATTAGAATAATCGATAGCAAGATGACTAGGATCCTCACAAATTTGACAAGGAACAGTGTATGGAGAATTGTAATTGTTGTTGTAGTAATGTCCACCATGATTGCCACCATGATTGTTATTGTAGCGATTGAATTTGGTGCGATGGGAAAAATTGCGCCGTGAATTATTTCTATTTGGCTGAGTTTGAGCATTGTAAGCTTGTACTTGAGGAACATTTGGTGTATGTAGCAGCGGAGGTTGATTTGATGCTTGGATGGAATTGAAAGCTTGATATGGTTCATTGGAAGAAGAACCTTGATTTTCTTCATTCTGGAAAGAGCCACCTCTTTACTGAGAAGAAAGCCATGAAGAGTATTAGCCAAACGGAATTGAACAGAGCCCACAAATGAGTCATTCATTAGGAAGGCCACTGAGAATAATAAGGAAAAGATCATTGTCATCAACTGGCGCTCCAGCAGCAACAAGGGCATCTGTAACGTCCTTGATACAAAGCAGATATTCAAAGATTGAAGAGGATCCTTTGGTCATGGATTGAAGATTGGAGCGGAGTTGATGAATGTGTGATCGAGAAACTCCACCAAACCGACGTTTAAGATTCTGCCAAAGCTCACGGGCAAATTGGATTCCAACAATGAATAAACTGAGATCTTCCGAGATAGTAGAATTTATCCAGATGATAATGTTCTGGTCTTTGTCATACCATTGCTCGAAGGCTGGATTTGGAAGAGAGGTGAGATTACCTGAAGGATCAGCAAGAAATTGGCGGTGGTGGCTCAAATCTATCGATGATTCTGGTAAGCTTACAGCGTTGGAGGATCGGATCAAAAAGAGATTTCTAGACAAGATAATTGTGGCGTTTAAGCTTTGTTTGAACCATACTACCGATATTTTGGATTGTAATCAAGTTGATTGAAGCCTGAAATGAAGAATTAGGGTTTGAGAGAAGCGGAGAAGTGTTCGGATTTACAATCGTAGGAGGAGATCAAGGAGGTGCAATCACCGGATAATATGAGCCGAAAGAATTTACTGCCATTAAAGATCAAAGATGCAAAAGTCTGAGCAAGAATTGAGAAGAGGGAAGCAAAAGTAGACCTATTTGGCAGGTGAGAAAATTACTGTTTGGTATGTGGGAAAATTTGGGAAAGGATCGAGGTTGTTAGATTGTGGCGAGAGATGCCATATTGAGGAAATGAAATCTTTCTCATTAACTCAAGATAATAATTTTACAGGGTATATATAACAACACCTAACTGAAGTTACCACATAAGAAAGGTAAAAGAATTATTACTACAGTAACTCTAACTAACACTAACTGACTTTTGACTCTATTATTCTCTTCATTATGGACGTTAGCGACGTCTCTCATCTTTCAATTAGCACCGTTGTTGTCGCCTAAATCAGCTGACTCTGTTGCCTTCATGAAGAGGACCATATCTTCCAATAAGATTGCCGTCTTCTCCAAGTTGCTGGATTCGATTCGACAAAGATATGAGGACGAAAAGCTTTTGCCTATCATGGGTAAAATAACTCTTTTGTCCTCAGAGCAAGTGGCCAACACATGATAAAAAAATGAACGGAATAATTGTTAAAAAAATTGGAAAATCAAAAGACGGGAAATTTGATTAATTATAAAAGTTTAAGGAAGTAATTGGCTAAAATAAAATTTTAATAGAAAAATTGACCAAACTTTACAAGTTCAAATGAAAAATCGAGTAATACCTCTTGGTTTTTATTATGTAGCCAATCAACTAGTACTCAATCTAACGGTACTTTTTTTTTGTTTAAAGATGTGAAGATGTCTCATGTTTGATGAACTATATATTTCAAGGAAATATGCCGTGGACATGGACTTAAAATGAATAAACTTTTTTCTATTTGTCAAGTTTCTTCCAAGACTATTTGCATAGATGAATTCCATACGAGCATGTAAGAAAAGAGATCTCATATTTTACAAGAAATTAGGACTACTTGTATGTATTTTTCAAATTCACTCCATACATTATTCTTGCAAATATCAAATTTTAATTTGACATCGTTTATCAATTTGATTCTCATGATGTCATTTTAATGTTTATTAACATACTATATGCGTCATTTTTTTTAGCACAATTAGATACTACAATCGTTTGATTTGACTAATATTTTGCAAAAGAATTTATGCGGTGAGACTAGAGAAATAGATTTTTCTAATTGCTGAAACTTGAATAAACAAAAGAATAAAATTCAAGGTGAAGTGGACATCGCAAGTAGTTTTCAGTTTTTTTTTTTTTATATATACTTTTTTAAAGTATTGGACTCACTTTCCTTTAAAGACTTGTCCATACGAGATTTAGCTCAAAAGCCTGGCCAACTTCACCCTCGCAACGACATTGAGCTCGAACAACTTCAGCTTACTACTGCAATTTTAGGACCAAACACGACCTAACTTAATTTTTCGCCTTACTCTCAATCATGTTTGAAATTTGATGAAGTATATGTTTGTCAAATTTCTTACAAGTAAACATGCCGTTGACGTGGACTTAAAATGAACATTTTATATGTGTACAATAAGGACCCGGCCTCTCTGCCCTCCCACTTTCCATACACTCTTATCCTGTCTTATTTTGTGCAGTCACGGTTAAGCCACGTTAACATTTTATATTGATTTTTTTGTAAAGATAATAAGACAAAAATTAATAGTAATATAAAATGTTAACTTGATTTAACCGTAACCGTACAAATAAGAGGAGATGAGAGTATGAAAAGTGAAAGGACAGACAAATCAAGTCCGTACAATAATCAACTCAACTATTTATATCAGCCCAACAAAACGACTCCAAAGTTAATCATGTACGTATAGGGGAATAATATATGTATTATTTTGACCGAGAAATCTCCATGACCAAAACCACATAGTTGACCACGTGTTAAATGCTTTTTAATTGCATCAAACCCAGGTCGACAAGTGCCTTATAACTGAAATTTGAAATTCCCGGCACAACACACACATCTGTCAGAGAGAGAGAGAGAGAGAGAGAGCGAGAGAGAGCGAGAGAAGGAAATGGACCAATATATCCTCAAAGCATTGGAAGGTGAATTGTTATGGTATGACGAGAGGCCTCCAGTAGTACTGAATCAAAGCGCTTTTGTGCTGTACACAAATACACCCGTCATTGATAAGCTTCCCAGTGATGTCACAAAATCCATGAATACGAACAAGAGGATGCTGCAATTCTTGAGGAAAAGCTGGCAACCTGCAACGGCAAGAAATGAAGCCGAACCGGACGGCAAACACCGGGCTTTTCGCCACATGATCAACGAGCGCATGAGGAGGGAGAAGCAGAAGCAGAGCTACTTAGCCTTGCATTCTTTACTGCCCAATGGAACCAGGGTGGGTATATTCAGTTAACCACATTAAACTAAATTTAATATCCGTTATCAGCGCTCCAAAATAGTTATACTGCACTGCTTGTTTATAGTTTCTTAATCTTGTTTTCATGAAAGTGTTTTTATTGGAGTGATCCACATCTTTCTGTTTTTTCTAGACATTGAGTTGATGAACAAATTAAAAGAGATTCAAGAGCCAGAATTAAAGGGGTGTTCAGAAGATGAAAAATGATGTGCAAATATCACTCCTAAGAAAAATTAAGAGGAGCACATAACTATTTCGAATTGCGCAAATGAGCAAGAAATTTTTTATATAATTGTTTGGTGTTCCAATTCTACATGTTGCAGAGTGATAAGAATTGGATTGTGCAAATGACAGCTATGAACATTCAGCAGCTGAAGAGGTACAAGGAGGAATTGATCAAGAGGAACGTGGAGCTGGAAGCGCTTTTGGTAGAAAATGAAAAGGAAAGAGTGAAATGGAGCAAGATTAGATTAAAGGTGGCTAATCCTACATCAGGAATTGAATCTATGTTGGAGGTTCTTAAGTGCTTGCAATATTTGGGTTTGAAAGCCAGAAATGTTCACTCTAATTTCTCCCCTGAGGAGTTTTCAGCAGAACTGGAAATTGAAACCAAGGTACTTGAATGCATGCACATAATTTTGAAGTTATCATAAATTCTTGCTATTTTTTCATGGGTAATGCTAGGGAGACAAAATTTTGCAAATTAAATGACACGGAAGATGATGATTGAATTATTACTTAAGCGTTGATAAACATGCTCAATTCTATTGGTAGCACATCATTTAGTTCGTAAATTTTGTCTACAAATGTAGTCTTCTTAACATTACCCATTTTTCACACCACAAATTGGACACTTGTTATCAAAATTAAATAAAAAGGAGTAGCATAGATGATTTCCCTTTTAAATTTCACTCATACTAATCATCTGATTTTGATAAAATAAGATAAATTTGAACAAAATAAAAAATTTCATAATACCTAGTACTTTTTCTGTTGGCTAAATAGCCAAAATGATCTTTGAAATTTGCATAACTCATGACTTGATCCTTAACATTTCAAATCGATAAAAGTGGTCCCTGAGATTGTCCACCATCCATCATTTTGGTCTTTCCGTTAAAAACTCCGTTAATGTCTCCGAGCTCTTGGCTGGAAGTTTGGGCAATTTTCATAGCTTCGTAACTCAATTGTTTCTTAACCAAATTCGACCCATAATATATCAAAATGAAGATAGGAAAGTGTAGAATAAGATTATACCTATTTAGAAGCCCAATGACTGCCAGAAATGGCTGGAAAATAACCTCAAAGTTGCCTGGTCCGAAGGAAAACTGGAAAACTCACTGGAAACTAGGTAAACTTAACGTTCATAACTTCTTCAATACTCAACAAAATCAAGTGATTCAAAAACTAAAATAATACTTCTCGACGACGAAGAGAATAGTATATTTTTAGAAGGTTAAATCGTCATAGTTTGGCCGGAAAATGGCTCGAAAGTGGCTAACTCGAGACCAAGACAGTCACTTTCAAGCCTTTTTCGGCCAAAACATAGTGATTTAGCCTTCTAAAAAGGTACCATTCTCTTCGTCTCGTCGAGAAGTATGATTTTAGTTTTTGAATCACTTGATTTCGTTGAGTATTGAAGAAGTTATGAAAGGGTCTCGCCAGCAGCCATTAGGCTTCCAAATAGGTATAATCTTATTTTACACTTTCCTTTCTTCATTTTGATATATTATGGGTCGAATTTGGTTAAGAAACGATTGAGTTACGAAGCTTTGAAAATTGCCCAAACTTCCGGCTAAGAGCTCTGGAACACTTAACGGAGTTTTTAACGGAATGACCAAAATGATGGATGATGGACAATCTCAGGGACCACTTTTATCGATTTGAAATGTTAGGGACCAAAGTGATGAGTTATGCAAATCTCATGGACCATTTTAACTATTTAGCCTTTTTTGTTTAACAACTAATCTAATATACGGAAAAGAGAATTTCAATTTGAGTGCCAAACGACAATCAGATTGTCCTAACCAACTACTCTATTTTATTTAAAATGGTCATTACGTTTCTTTCTTGGCCAAGAATGACAACTACGTTTTAAAGCTTTGTGCTTTGCATGGACATACATAGGATGGGAAGATGGAACAAGTCTTATTCATAAATTAATTGAATATAGGAAAATGCACACATGGTGTTTCTCACCACTCACCCCTGGGACTTTTAGATTTTAGGACTTCAACAACAAGATTGTTTTTAGATTTTAACCTGAATGGTTTTCAAAATCTAATATTAATTCATATTTTAAAAATTTACCATATTTAAGTAATTATAGCACATTTATTATTTATAAACTTACCATTCGAAATTCTTTACCCATCCATAATTAATGTTTTTTTTTTGTACTCTAATCATATTAATAGATAAAGATTTATTCAAAATTCAAATTCAAATTCTTATTATTAAAAAAAATTTAACAACAAAACAAAAACAATTTATACATAACTTTCGGTACATTATTTTATTCATAGGTACGGAAGTATCGGTACGAATGTATGGGTACATAATTTTAGGTATCTTATTTTACTCATAGGTACAGAAGTATCAGTTTGTAAGTTTTGGTACGAATATATCGGTACATAACTTTCGGTACGAATATATCGATACAAATGTATCGGTACGTAACTATAGTAACTAAACATACATATTTACGTAATACGCATATACATATATACAGAGAAATTCACGCACAATGAAAAATATATGACTTTTCTTATTATGGGAACTTAATAAATAACATTTTTATTATTTATGGGGATCAATATATAACCTAGAAAAAAAAAACAAAAACTCAATAATTATTACAACCTATTTAATATTAAAAAAATTACAATTAAATGCCAAGGATTAGAATAGAATTTTCCGTATAATAATACTGAAATTCTGTATTTTATTGTATTTTTGGGAAGATTGGAGCTGCAGAGATAGAAGAGGCTGTGCAAGAAACACTCAATAAAGCTGAGAGGAAACTGCGTTTTCCATTTCCAGGAAGGTGAAGGGAGACAGGAATTTGGTGCTCCAATTGACATTTGACTTTAGTGAATATTCTTTTGAAATATGGAAAACGAATGGGTCAATTTTCTCTTCGTGTCTTGAAAAGTTTCAACTTATTGAATTTGACACTCGAATTTGACTAGAAGTTTATATTTTCAAGCACGACCTATTGTAATGAGAATTTATCATATATAGCCAATATTTACACTCTACTTTCGTAAATATCAGTTTTTATAAAAACTATCAAATATATCCAAAATTTCATTGTAATAGACTTTAATACCCTCAAGTGGTTCGGTGACAGCAATCATGTTGTGAGTTTGAATGAAAATGAATTCCAACGATTTTAGGTGTTGTGTAATTTGATTTTAATTTGTAGGGTAGTTTGGTCTATTTAAAGCATGTTTTATGCTATGATTGATAGTTTTTATAAAAACTGACATTTGTGAAATTAAGGGTTAAATATTGGTTATATACGAGAAATTCCCTATTGTAATACTCTAATTTAAAACGTGGAAATGATGTGATAAATGGCATACTATAATCAGAACTTTTCAAAAACTTGTTAACACCTTTTCTTTTTTGGTCGGAGAAAACTTTGTATGCATGAGCAATAGGAGATCGTACGTCCGCCCACGCAAAAGTTCAAAATTTTCGAAAAACTTGTAAATTTTAGGAATTAAATTATGATTCTAAAAATCTAAGATAGTTGATCAGTTTCCAATATTCGTGATTTCTGAACTTGGAAAATAATTTGATTCTATAGAGGCATAGAGGCATTGGAAGACATCACATCAAAATGTATAAGATAAAAAGGATACAAAGCAGCAACTTTATTTGCATTCAAACTAATTGGTGCGATTTACGGATTTAGCAAGCGCACGATGTTTACAAAAATTCTTAGATAATTTATTTAATGTAAAATCTCACAAAAGATAGTTGAAAATAAACAGACGAACAAATGAAATATGAACATTATTTAATTAACAGAAAAATAAATACACTAAATTGTCGGAACGGCTACAAACCATAGTTCTAAAAGTCTCCACCTAGGGTTGCTGATCATCGCCCCGATTAGTCTCTGTGCATTTGAAAATTAAGAAAGTGTACCTAGACCTGCTTAGGCATCTGCTTAGCTTGCTTAACCTGCCTAAACCTGCCTAGGTCGCGACTTTTACTTAGACAGAAAATCGATAACTTTCATTTTGCATTCTAATTTCAATAAAATGTAAGAGACTTGAATACTTGGACGAATACTCATTATATACTTGTTCTCCATGTTTTCAATATGTTTTAATACTTTATTATTTATGTCATTTTATTTTTGCAATTTATGTATCCCCATATAATTATGTGTGTGTGTTTTTTTTTAGAATAAATAAACACTTATTTATACAATATACAACAAATTGACTTAAATCCGCCTAGCTGTCTAACTTGTTGAAATAAACCAATACTAAAAAACGGCCTAGGCACTAGGTAGTGGGCTTTCGTGGCGATTTTGAGCAAAACGTTCAATAAATTGGAGAGAGTCTAGGTGGCCGACTAGGTGGCGCTAGGTGGCATATGCTAGGTGGTTCCTTGTCTCTCTGCTCTGTGTCTGTGCAAACTAGAAATCCAAAAACTCTAGCTGTCTCATGTAGCGCAAACCCATAACTTTTGTGCCTGAAAATGGAGAAGTGTCGTGGTGGCATAGCATAGATGGATGGATAGAGGTAGATGTGCAATGGAGAGATGGAGGGTTTGAGGGAGTTTCTTTGATTTTTTGTTATTTAGGAGAGAAGAAGATGAAATGGATAGAAAGTTAGAAGCGGAGAAGTCGAGGTAAAAGAGAGAGAATAGGCAGCAGGAAATCAGGAAAGTGGAAAAAGATGCTTAGTCTTGTGTGAAAGTTCACCAGCCTTATAATAAAGAAAATAAAGAATAATTATCCACTGTTCATTTAAAAAATATATTATATAAATTGTTTAGATAATATTTTATTATTTGTTCTATTTAAGACCACACTATATTATATTCTCAGTGTTCTAAAAATCTTCGTTTAGCGCCGTCTAGGCTCCACCTAGGCTAGGCGGTTGGTCACCACTCCAATGCGGTTGAAAATTAAGAAAGTGGACCTAGACCCGTCTAGGCACCGCCTAGGTCACGACTCTCCGTTAGACAGTGAATCGATTACTTTCATTTTGGATTTTATTGTTTCAATAAAATGTAATAAACTTGTTGAATACTTGGATGAACACTCATTATGTGCTTGCTCCCCATGTTTTCAATATGTAGTAGTACTTTATAATCTATATATCATTTTATTTTGCAATTTATGTATATAATATGTGTTTTTTTTAAGTATAACTTATTTATATAATATATAATAAACTTACTTAAATTTGCCTAGTCCGCTTAGCTGCCTAGGCACTAGGCTCTAACTCGCCACCTGATTAGCGCCTAGCATCTTTTAGAACGCTTCTAGAGTTTATATTTTGTATTGTTTACGGTAGTGTTGGCCGCCTTGTGATGAAAGGAAATATCAAATGCTAAGTATGTCAAGAGAAGACCAGCTTCATATCGTTTGCACATTATAACGGTTGTTACTTTGTGAGGTTGAAATTGGATGATCATTTAGTCTCCCGTTTCATCTGCACACTTCTGCATCTTGTTTTAAGCGCGTTTCAAATTTTCTTCTCATTGCATCTGTCTTGATCTATGTTTGAGTATTAGTTTCTCTACTGTTTGTCTGTTAACATAAACCCTTTATGGTAACATATGCGACTCCCTTTGCAGGGATACCGACATAATGGACTACTCAAAACCCTTTACGGGTTTCAGGTATGGATCCGGTAACCAGCACTACACTGAAGTTTGCACGCTTAAAGATCAAAATTATTACTTTGAATGGTGACCACTTGTGTGGTGGAGTGGAGTTTGATTCAGTTTGTTTGAAGGATCAATGAAGTTGAAAAAAGTGATATGTAAAACAATTGCAGGCTCCTCTTCAAACAAGTAACCCCAACAACAGGATAACAAGACTTGCAAGGCTTTTTTATGTTGGAAAATGAATGGGTCAATTTTATCACTTGCTCAACTTGTGAATTTGACTAGAACTTTGCATGTATATATATTCAAGCACACCAATTATTACACTCTAAGGGCATGTTTACCAAAGGGAAATGAAATGATAGGAAAATGAATCACACACATCCCCATTCATTCAAGCATTTACCAAAACTTCAGGAATAAAAAAACTAGTGGGACCAGCATAAAATCAAGAATTCAATTCTTGAAATAGCCGGAGTGGGATTCTTGGGTGAGAGGAGGGATTTGGGTTCCTGGAAATTGTGTTCATCGGGAATCAAAGTTTTGTAGCGATAATACCCTCAAGCTCGAAAGGAATATTGGGATAGTTGGGGGAACAAACCAGGGGATATTGTTTGCAGCCCTTACGGGTTGTGCTGATCTACTTCACATAGTAAGAGGAGGAGCAAAACCTGGTTGGCGATGTGGTGAGTTTTGGTGAGGGGGAGTGAGTTGAGGCAATGGAGGGTGAGAGAGAAGATGATGGGGGATGAGAGGAGAAAGGATAAACGGGGGTGGTGGTGGGTGCTAGATAGGATGGTGTGGGTGAGATATTTGAGCGTTTTGGTCAAGCAGCTGTTGAAAAAGATTGGGAAAAGGGTGAGAGAGAAAAGGAAGTAAATTTTATTTGGTTTATTTTATGTTGATATTTTTAATATAGGTTTAGGGTGATTAAGAGTCTTCTCTAGCATGTCGAAGCAAATAAACAATATTCTTTCACATTAAATTTGTACTAAAAGTTTTACTAAAAAATAAAATGTTTGTACCATACTTGACCAATCCCGAAACTACTGAGCACTGGTCAACGTTATACCGTCAAGGACCCAGAAGAGCTTCCCTTCAACCAGGAGGCCAATCACAATGCGACACGTGTTGACATCAGAAGCCAATCACAGCTCGACACATGTCAACATCAGAAGCCAATCACAACACGACACGTGTCAATGTTAGAACAAAACTAGAAACTCTCTTCTATAAATAGGGATCATTCTCCCACAATAATCTCTAATGTCATTTTATACTAAACTATTCACTAGAACTCACAAAATGAGAGCTTGAACCTATGTATTTGTGTAAACCCTTCACAATTAATGAGAACTCCTCTACTCCGTGGACGTAGCCGATCTGGGTGAACCACGTACATCTTGTGTTTGCTTCCCTGTCCCTATTCATTTACGTACTTATCTTCACTAGTGATCGAAGCAACCAAGCGAAGGTCACAAACCTGAGACTTTCTGTTGTACCAAAGTCCTCGCTGATTTTGTGCATCAACATTTGGCGCCGTCTGTGGGAAATCGACACTTATTCCCACTCTCTTCAGCTTTGTCAAGCTGGTTTCCACCACTCGTACACTTTCTTTTGGCCAAACATCTCTCTCCAACATGGGGAGCGAAAGAAGCCATAGCACACAGAATGACACCCCCATTGGACCTAGTATGAAGCAACGAAAGCAGGAAGGAAATAGAGTTACCCTTCAAGCTAAAGTCGATGAGTTAGAAGCTCAGAACAACAAGATAGTGATGAGGAACGAGGTCCTCCAGGAGCAGTATGAAAAACTTTTTGAGATGCTTCACGAGGCTAGGCATGCTCAAGCACACAAGCTCGTCGCCCCTGCTGAGGTCAACAATCATCTGAATGCCCCCCAACACGGAGGGTCACCGATATCCAACACGGACATCCCTGATAGGGATCGAGCTATACATCAATGTGATAATCAACATGAGACTTCTCTCAACCTAGCTGCTTCAACCCGAAGCAGAAGGAGTAGAGGAAAGCACCTCCTCACAGAAGGAGTGGAAGGATCAAAAGCCGTCTATCGCGATTGTCGAGACTTCCTAAAGCAACGTCGAGAGAATCCCATCCACATAAGCTCGAAGATCAATGACCCAAGAGTTTTTGAAAGACTCGGTCCTCTCCCACGACCCAGGCCAGCAGTTAATCTAGGGAATGGGCAACAAGTCCCAGAAGAACATAAAGGTATAGGGGACTCGGAAATGTTCCGACATACTCACTCTAGGAGTCAGTGTGACGAGTCCAAGGAAAAATCATGCTATCTTGATCAAACTTTCCTACTTCCAAGAGGCGATGGG